ATTTTTTAGTAGTTTCTTTTTGTGTGTGTGCAAGTATCAAAGATATTTTTTAATGGTTGGTAAATAACTGCTACAAAATATGAAACAAAATACATTTACTGGATTGTTTTTCTGAGTGCAATGGCCCTTTGGCTCCCCAAATGAGGATTCCCCATAAAAGTCACAAAGCAATGCATGTAGTGGTTATTTTAGGCCAATGCCTTTCCCCCACTTCTTACCCCCACCCCTTCAGGCACCATATTATTAAAAACATTAGGTACCTGGGATTTGTACCCCAGATCAAGACATCATTTGGGCAATTTCAGCTGATGTACAGCTCCTCATGTAAAAAAGATGTCCTGTGGTCAGTTACTTCAAAAAGTAATTATATTCAAATAACCTGGCAGATCATGTTTTAGCAATTACAGAACTGATACGGAATTTTTGGACTGGAACCCGGATCCTTTTTCCGCCGGAATCGAAGAATGAATTCACGGACAGAGGGTAGTATAGCAAAGGTGGAGATTTGTTGAAGAACAAGTACAGACTCCCACATGGGGAGAGGGAAAGAGTCCCACAGAATGGACTCCCAAGTAGGGAGGGGGAAGAGTCCCACTGAGTTCCTGTTTCCATGGTTTATAAAGGCTGCAATTCTTGTGTCTTGATACCCCTCTGACTGGTCAATATTCCCCTGCAAATTGGTTACTATACTGCAGTGATGGCGAACCTTTTGAGCTCGGCGTGTCAGCATTTTGAAAAACCCTAACTTAACTCTGGTGCCGTGTCACATATAGAAATTTTTTGATATTTTCAACCATAGTAAAACAAAGACTTATATTTTTGATATTTATTTTATATATTTAAATGCCATTTAACAAAGAAAAATCAACCAAAAAAATGAGTTCGCGTGTCACCTCTGACACACGTGTCGTAGATTCGCCATCACTGCTATAGTGATTCCTGAGGCCCTCCTCCCTCATAGTCCTTCCATTCCTCTGGGCTTTCTTTTACATTTATTTTGTAAATAGAGACCTTTCTTGGCTACCTCCAGGTCCCTTGACTTATGGAAATATACCTGTTGCTGCCTCCTTGTCTTATGGAGATGTAACTGCACCTGGCTTCCTTGTGTACCTTCTCCCTGTCTGTAGCCCTGTGTTTTTTCCATGGACCCCAATTCTAAAAAATCCCTAAGCTTGCCTATGTTCTCCTAAAATTCCTGCTTCAGAACCATGATTCTGACACATGGCAGTTTACAAGTTAGACAAATGTGAAATGTTAAAAGATGTGAACAGCTGCTCTTCTGTTTAAGTTTAGAGTGCTGAAAAATTTCGGTAATGACTTTATTTTTTCAGTTAACATAACATACAGCATATAGGTCATAAAGTACAAATCCATGGAAGGTAATATCTTCACTAAGTTACAAAGCTTTGGCAAATCAATACAGTACTCTTTCATAGAGTAAAGATGAAGTTATATATTACTTGAGTGATAATTTTAACTCCAAAAAATTTCATTTACGTACCAAATTAAAACACTGTGGTTTTTAATGGTGGCTTATAGCAAGCAGAGCAAGTTATTTTATATAAATTTATATCTTTTAAAACTACACAATTTCTCCTTTGAAAGTGAGTTCCCTTTGAAGTTTTCCACAGCAGAGCAATTGTGTCTATTTGGAGGTGGCTCTGCTTTGTCCTGGGGTTGGTCCAAAGCCAGGTAGAGTTCCAATGCATGAAAAGCTTTAAAATTCAACCTGAAGGAGACTTAATATGCTAACACCAATTTCCACGTACCTTTCAAAAATTGTTAAATTCTCACATAACTATGGAATCTTCAAAACCAGAGTCATTTCAAACAACACTAATAATTTCAGATGCTCCCTGTTATTTAGAAACACCATACCCCCTTGTTTTGATCAAGTTACATACCCTTTCTTCGGCTTATTAAAAAAAAATTCTACCTAAAATATAGTTCTTAAATGTATTTTTTTTAAATAACAATAAATATAATGTCAGCCAGTAGAGATATGGGGGACTGCTTGTTGTATACCAACTTTCATCATTTCTCTACAAATGCTGCTGCCGCCATTGGCGTCCTTATGCTTCCTCTTGTTGAAGGCGTCAATTCTTCAATCTCAGCGTTTAATTTATGTATCACCCATTCCACTGCTTCCCGGCCTTTACGAGCATTTGAGGATGCCATGCTCGCCATCAGCCCTTCCAGGTAACTACTGAGGCTCACTCCTTTCACAGTGATGATGGCCTCTTGAGTCAAAACAGTTCTTTCTGGGCCCTGCAGATGTGGTTTTATCTAAGTCTCTCATCTACTGAAACCATATTTGTAAATGAAATATTAGTGGATTTAAGTTCCGTTGTTTTCTCTACAGGGTCAACTACAGAATGTTCTTGCACATATGTTTTGGTTCTTGTCCCACCAATCAGAGATCTCACAATGGAAGGGAGGCCCCACTCTGTGCTGAGCAGTCTGTGGCTGTGCAACTTTCCAGAAGGATCTGCATGTCTGTCCAATACATTGACTCCAACCACGCTTGGGTTCATAGGGTTGGATATTTCTGCATTGCGGCTATTGTAACAGTTTCCCATGGATGGTCAAAGACGTGCTCCGAAGTCCAAATCCTCATGATGCAGGTGGCCTGTGCGGTGTCCCAGCAGCGCAAAGAGGCAGAGAGGCCACACAGGCCCCCGCCCTGCCCCCTCGCCTCCCTGCTGGCGGCGCAGTGCACACGTGCCCTGGTGGTATCTTGTTTATTCTCCTTGTATTTGTGGGTTTGTTTACTTCCTTTTTGCTGTTGATTTCTAATTCCATGCATTATGGTCAGAGAATATGCTTGCCATAATTTCAATCTTGAGTTTGTTGAGACTACTATCGTGACACAACATATGGCTTATCCTTGGAATGTTGCATGTGCACTGGAGGAAAATCTATAATCTGATGTTCCGGGACAAAAGGCTCTGTAAATGTCAATTATGTCCATTTGGTCTAATGTGTCACTTAAGGATGATATTTCTTTGATTTTCTGTTTGGATGATCTATCTAGAGCTGTCAGTAGAGTACTAAGGTCTCCAGCTGTGGTTCTATTTTTATTTTTATTTTTATGTTTCTCCTTTAGTTCTGTTAGTAGTTGCTTTATATATTTTTGCTCCCTGATTGGGTGCATATATATTAAGAAGTGCTATGTGTTCTTGACCTAGTGTCCCCTTTATTGTTATAAAATGTCCATCTTTGTCTCTTATTACCAGTTATCTTGAAATCTGTTTTGTCAGATATAATTATAGTATACCTAGTTTTCTGTGGATGTTATTTTCTTGAAGAAATCATTTTCCACCCTTTCACTTTGAGTCTAACTTTGTGTTTGCAGCTTAGATGTGTCTCCTGAAGGCAGCATATGGTTGAGTTTTGTTTTTGATCCAATCTGCTACTCTGTGCTTCTTTTTTGGTGAATTCACTCCATTTATATTAGGGTAATTACTGATATATGAGGATTTCCTTTAGCCATTCAGTCTTTTGCTTCCTGGTAGCTCTGTGCCTCCATCAGTTCTTTTCCTTTATGTTTCTGTCTGTTGTTTTAGTTTGGTGGTATTCCATAATTCTTCCCTCTGTTTTCTCTTTTGTTTAAGCTATTTGTCTCAATTTGGATGTTGTGTGCGTGTGTGTGTGTGTGTGTGTGTGTGTGTGTTTACCATTAGGTTTATGAAAAAGAAAGTTTCATTATATACAGTAGTCCTTTTAATTTTGAATACATCTGACCTCTATCCTTCTTTGCAAATTCATTCCTTACCCCCACACCTTTTATGTTTTTGTTGTCACAAATTATCCCTGTTTATTCTGTAAGTTTTTTTTGTGATTTTATTCATAGTATTATAACCTTTTGTTCTTTGTTTCAGGTAGCATAACACCCTTGAGTATTTCCTGCAATGGAGGTCTTCTGGTGATAAATTTTCTCAATTTCTGTATGTCTGGAAATGTCTTTAGTTATATGTCTTCTTAAAAAAATATATATTTTAATTAATTTTCGAGAGAGAAGAAGGGAGAGGGGGAAAGAGAGAAAGATTGATGTGAGAACCCAACATTGATCAGCAGCCTCCTACATGCCCCCTACCAGGAATTGAGCCTTCAACCCAGCATGTGCCCTTGACTGGGAATCAAACCAGCGACCATTTGGTGCATGGCATGATGCCCAACCAGCTGAGCCACACCAGGTAGGGCAGAATATATTATTCTTGGCTGGTAATTTCTCTTTTTCATCGTTTGAATATTTGGTTCCACTCTCCTCTGGCTTGTGGAGTTCCTGCTGAGAAGTCTGATGATAACCTAATGGGCTTTCCATTATGAGTTCCTTTCTTTTCCTTGGCTGCCTTGAGAATTCTTTGCCATTAATTTTTGATAATATGTGTATTAAGTTTTAATAATATGTTCCTTGGAGAAGGCCTCTTTGGATTGAGGTAAGTAGGTGTTCTGTTTGCTTCTTGGCTTTGAGGATTTGGCTCTTTTCATAGATAGGTTTGGGAAACTCTCATCAACTATTTGTTTGAATAGGTTCTCCGTTCTCTTGTCCATTTGGAATGATTCTTGGAACATGGTATTGAACATAAGTAATTCTTTAATGAATGAATGAATCCCTTAACATTTAGATTTTTCAAATAAATTATTCAGTTGACCAAAATAAAAACTTGGAGACATTTAATAATCCTATATAATAAAAGCCCAGCAACCATAACAGCTTAACGACCAGAATGACTGCTTGACCAGTCGCTATGAGGTGCATTGACCACCTCTCAGTCCCTGCCGTCCCCACCCCCCAGCCCCCGGGCCGGCAGGCTCTGATCTCAGGATGGCGAATGGGGAAACACAGGTAACCAGGGTGGGTGGCAATGGGGCGGAACTGGGGACTGATCAGCAGGTGGAAGATGGCCCTGATTGCAGGCTAGGCCTATGGACCCTACTCACACACAATTTCGTGCACTGGGCTTCTAGTATAAAATACACATCTGCATGTGTCAAAATGAAGTTAAATTCGTTTATATTTTTATTTTTTCAAACTTTCATATTTGCAGGCAGTGATTATTAGATGCACAATATTTTAAAAAACAGCTCTTAGCTTTTACTATTCACCTTATTTTTAAATGGTAATTATTGTTCAGGAAGTAAGTCACTAAAAGGCAAATATTAGATAACAAGTTTAGGGATCAGGAAATGTTCATTCATTAAAAATATTATCTTGATTCATCACTTTTTGCTAATCTCAACATTTATTTATTAATTCTAACTAAAATCATCAACCCTTTGTACTAGTTAGAACTAAAGAAGAACGTCTGAATGGAAGAGTGAGAGAACCTGGGAACCTGAGGCCTCGCTGAGACTCCCTGAGGTCATTATCTCTGTGTGACTGTGGGCGAGACAAATCCACGGTTGCTTCTGATGGCTACTTGAAGTGCTTCCTCCAGTCTTTCCATTGTAGAATATCTAGGAAGGTCCAGAATTCTATGACACACGAGTGGTCTTGGGTAATCTCTTTCACTCAGTGTTTCAGGACAGCGAAATGTGATTCTCATTTCTTGTAATCCTCTTGCAGTCTGCCTATCATTTCCTGTAAGAAAAACTGGAAAGGAATCTTTGGTTAAGATATACCTTAGTGCTGGCCCGCGTGGCTCAGTGGTTGAGCATCGACCTACAAATCAGGATGTCATGGTTCGATTCCTGTTTAGACACATGCCTGGATTGCAGATTTGATCCCCAGTGTGGGGAGTGCCGGAGGCAGCCGATCGATAATTCTCTCTCATCATTGATGTTTCTATCTCTCCCTTCCTCTTTGAAATCAATAAAAATATATTTTATAAAAGATATTCCTTAGAACAAAATTTAAAATGAAAAGGAAGAAATTAATCACTTAATTCGGTAAATATTTATTAAATACTCTTGTGTGGAGGGAACTACCTGGGACTATGGGGAGCATAGAAAAGTCATGACATTTGGTCTTTGTCCTCAGTAAGTTCATGGTCTAGTTGGGGGGAAATTACATATAGTTGACCCTTGAACAGCATGGGTTGGAACTATGTGGGTCTACTTACATGAAGATATTTTTCAAAAAATACTGTAAATGGATTTTCCTGACTTTTATTAACTTTTATTTTATTTATTTAATTTTTAAAATATATTTTATTGATTTTTTACAGAGAGGAAGGGAGAGGGATAGAAAGTTAGAAACATCCATGAGAGAGAAACATCGATCAGCTGTCTCCTGCACACCCCCTAATGGGGATGTGCCTGCAATCAAGGTACATGCCCTTGACCGGAATCGAACCTGGGACTCTTCAGTTCACAGGCCGACGCTCTAGCCACTGAGCAAAACTGGCCAGGGCCTGATGATTTTCTTAATAACATTTTCTTGTCTCTAGCTTACTTTATTGTAAGAATACAGTATAATACATATATGTATATCTACATATAAAACATTGAAAATATGTATTAGTCAATTGTTTATGTTATCAGTAAGGCTTCTGGTCAACAGTAGGCTATTAGTAGTTAAGTTTGGAGGGAGTCAACAGTTATACAGATACTTTCCATTGTGTGTGTGGCCTGGGATCAGTGCCCCTAACCCCCAGGTTGTTCAAGGGCCAACAGCACATGAAAAGATAATAGCAAGGTACAGGGAGGTTTATTTTAGCACAACCAAGAAGTATGAGGTGAAGAGCCTGATGAAAGCCCTAAGACTGCGGGCAGGGAGAGAAGGGCCAGGCTGGGGTAACTAGGAGACTTCACAGAGGTCACATCTGGCTAGTTAAGTGGGGTGGGGAGGAATCCTAAGGAAAAATGCCTGAAATAGGGAGATATACGCGAGCTCACTGAATGTACAGACATCAATGTACAGATAATGGAACCACTGGGCTGAAGTACATGTTTCCCATTAAGGGAGCATACTGGAAAGGTAGTTTGGGTTTATGGAAAAGTAGGCTGGGTTTGTGGAGAAGTTGTAATTGTCCTCCAGCATCCTCAGTAGCAACAAAAATAGCAAGAAGAAAGAGGAGCTGAAAAATGGGATAAGGAGGTGAGAGAATGTCATTGTGTGCTGTAGGGAAACCTTAGGGTTCCCACTCGGAAAAGTTTGTATAGCCCAAGGACACAGAGCTTAGTGGTCAATAGCCTGGCCTTTGGATCAGCCTGCTGTGTTCACATTCTGGTTCTGACACTCACCAGGTATCTGAACATAGGAAGCTACTAAATGCTCCAACCCTCTTTTTCCTCAGATGGAGAAAATAAGTACCTACCTCATAAGGTTGCTATTGGGACAAAGGGTGTTAATAGATACAACGTGATCAGTACAATGGCTGGCTTAGAGTAAGCACACAATCATGCTGTTATTATCATCAGTGGTCATTGCTACTATTATTATTTCTAAAATAATATTAGAGGCAGTTTACATTGTCCTAATTCCATAGGACATAATTATTTACTGAAGTTAAGATAAAAAGGCTTGATGTGGAGCCAACAAGAATGAGGAAAGTGTATGCAAACTAAAATTGGAGGTGGGACTAGAGTCAGTGTAGAGAAGGTAGTAAAATAGTGATATATTTATTATAATTTTTAAAATGGGGAACAGGCTTATGTAAGAGAAAAACCATTGGTCCAGAAGGCAACTTGGGTTATAACCCCTGTGTTGCCATTAATACTCTCGATCCACCACAAATAAGATATTTATCTTTTTAAAAGATATATATTTATAGATCCTTCTATTACTGTAATACTTACAGAGGAATTGTCTCTTTTCATCCAAAGTTAATCTGTGGAAAGCTTTCCAAAACATCTGTATAGTAGGATGTGATTCATGGTATTCTGGCTCATATACTGAATTCTTGAGAAAAAGAGGGAGGAAATGGGTTTTAGGGGGGAACATATAAACGTAGTTCAAAAGAATTGGGGGCATTAGTTATTACCTACCTTTTCAAATTGTTTCCAGTCATAATCAGTATTTCCAATTATTGCTGTCCTTAGTTCTTCAGGATGGAAAAGTCTAAGTATCTCTTTGTCACAGACTGTATAAAATCCTCTCTGAAATTCCTCATAAACTGCCTTTACAGAAGTGTTGAAAATGTAATCAACACACTGAGAAACATAGTCGGTCCTTGAAGGAAACAAAAAAATAAAAAGAGTCCAATAACATACTTTATCAGTGCCTAAAATATTCTTGATTTTGCCCTTTTTACCATTTCTATTAAGAAAGGAAAGTAAATTCCTTCTGCTGAGCACACAACCCAGTACTACTCTAAGATATAAAAACGTCTGATCAGCTAGCACAGTGGTTGGCAAACTGCGGCTTTCGAGCCACATGCGGCTCTTTGGCCCCTTGAGTGTGGCTCTTCCACAAAATACCACGTGCGGGCGTACATGTACAGTGCGATTGAAACTTCGTGGCCCATGCATGCGCAGAAGTCGGTATTTTGTGGAAGAGCCACACTCAAGGAGCCAAAGAGCCGCATGTGCCTCGTGAGCCAACTACTGAGCTAGAAGAAGGAACCTTGGAGCGTAGAGCAGAAGGAATAAGACTTTGTTTTACTTCCATTTTCCTAGCTGCAGACAGGATCATATTTTAAAAACACTAAAACATTCCATTCTCCTGCTTAAAAACTTTCACAGGCTTCTCAAAGGCTGAGCGCAACCTCCACAGCAGGATCAAAAAGCCCTCCACGATCTGACCGTTACCCTACTCTCCAGCCTCTTCCCACTTCCATTTGAATCTCTGGCCTCACTGTCTCTTGTAGTTAGGCCATAGCATGCAGTGCTTCCCCCTTTTCTAGCAACTTTTATCACTCATCAATATGAGTATGTCTTTCTCAGGGTTGGTCCTCTGTCCCTCTTTCCCTCCACACTGACATGTCATTGTGTGAAAATTATTTATGCTGCCTGTCCTCTCCACTACGTGAAGAATTTCCTGATGGCAGGGTTGCTACTGGAGGTATTTCCACCAGAAACATGATAGTCTCCCTCCCCTTGAGCATCCTTCCTGGACTATCCTATCTATATCAATCCCTCTCTGCCCTCCCCGGTAACCAGTGGCATGCTGGTAAATGTTTAAAAATCAGTTATCCGAAGGGAAAGAGAAAAAGGAAATGCTCATTGGTAGCATTCGCCAATTTCTGTGGTGTAAATATTCCCACTATGCCTGATTTCAAGCTACAAACACTTTAATAATAAACTGTGAACATTTTTGAAAATTTAACAATCAATCAGCTCTCACAAGCTGGTACCAGCTGCCTTCAGCACACCTCCAACCTGTAACTCTAGTCTCTTAATTGGATTTAATTTTCTTCAGAGTATTTATCTGACATTCTATTACATAGTAATCTATTCTTGTATTGCCTTTTGGTCCTACTGGAATTTAAGCTCTATATTATGTCTGTCTTTTTCACTGCTATATCTCCAGCACCTAGAATAGGGTCTAGTACATAGTAGGGGCTCAAAATAATTGTTAAATGAATAACTAGTGAAAAGTGCTACAAAGGAAATATTTAATTCCGACTCCTTTCTCCTCTTCTCTTACCCTATAACTGTTTTATCTTTCTAAAAGATGAGGAACTAAAATGATCATCTGAGAAGCTAAAATACATTTATAAAGTAAAGTGACATAAACATTTTATGTGTATTCAAAGCATAAATTCTAGGTCTCAAAACTTACTTGTTGGTTTGGTCCACAAGTATAGAGATCCCATTTGGAATTAAATCAACATTATGTTGGTCCCATCGTAGCTGTAATATATTCAGGTAGCAAACATGAAAGAAAGTCTCAGTAATCAACCATATTAGCATTATTGCCAATTTATAGGATATCCAAAAAATGCATACACACTTTAACAGCTGATAGCTCAATTGATGTTTCTTTATTTTCAGATTTACCCCATTGGAATGAATAATTATTCAAAGTGTGTATACATTTTTTGGGACACTCTGTGTTCTTCCCTAACAAAATTTAAATAACTGGGAGCTAAATAATTATTTATGCAGTTCAGCCTTTTGAATACATAAAACATTTTAAAACCTACCCTAGATATGTTGTAGATTGCTTTTAAGCATACATTGATCCATTTAGTTATTTACATAGATTGAATAATCACTTGTATTTGCACTTTATTTGTGAGTACACAGACATAGGTAAAAAATGAGGAGCAGGTAGAGAGAAAGTCTTACAGTACAGAAGTAAAGTACCATTCAAAAAAGGCATCCCAAATTTGAGATATAATAAAACTAGAGGCCCGGTGCATAAAAATTCATGCACTGGAGGGGGTTTCCTCAGCCTGGCCTGCCCCCTCTCACAGTCCGGGAGCCCAAAGGGGTGCAAGGCGACCCGGCAATCAAGGGGAAGGTGATGCCCACATCACACTTCTGCTGCTGCAAGTGCCGGCAGTGCAAGCCTCAGCCGGCCCTGGTTACCTCAGCCTCGGGCGGCCCTGAGTGGCTGGGGGGCTGAGGGGACGGGGGGACTTGGAGGTAGGCGCCCTGGCGGGGCTGAGGGGACTGGGCGCCACCATCTAGTGGCTGTGGGTGCCTCCATTGTTGAGGGCCTGTAAGTCAATTAGCATATTCCCTCCTTATTGGCTGTGGGCGTCACCATATTTGCGATGGCCTGAGGGTCAATTAGCATATTCCCTCTTTATTAGATAGGATTACTTTTTAAAAAGACTAAAGCTAAAACATAATTTGTTGTTCACTAGTACTGTGAACCCTGAGAAAGAAGATGCCTACTAAGAAGGGCTCCTTGTGGCTAAATTAAAAACAACAACAGCCTACCAGCTGTTTCTACACAGGGACCTCTCATGCAAACTGCACTTAAGGGAGAAGGTTGCACTGAACTACCTGCTTACACTGTGTTTCTGCCATCCGAGCCAACACTTCTAAAGGAGTTCCCGGAATCCTCTTTTATCCAATAGGATTGAGGCTTTCTCCATCCAATAGGAGCTGCACAACTATATTCCCATCAACATCTTCACGGACCAATCAGGGCAATGCCTTTTGGACCAAGCAAACTGTAAGCATATGGAGTCCTCATTTGCATGAGGATGGATCAATCAGGGACCAGGGTTGGGGACTTGTGTCTATATAAGCCAGCTCCTCTCTGGCTGGGGGAGTGCACTTTCCACTTCCACTGAAGACAGGACTATGTTTCCCAGACTGAGCTGAACACCAAAGATGTCTCACTGGGGCTGATCGAAGCAGACCAGCACAGACAAAAGCAGACTGCTCAGATGGAGCAGACCAGAGTGGAGCAAAGCAGAGTAGCCCAGCCCAAAGCAGACCCGCAAGGAGCAGACTAGAGCAGAGCACAGGAGTGAGGAGAGGAGAGCAGAGCAGAGCTGTCTAGCAGAGAGGGGCCTGGCTCCAGGGCTGCCTCAAAGCCATGCTGTTTTCACAGCTGTGCTATATCAATTGAGCTGATTTGCACTGAATAGTTTCCTTCATTGCACACCAAATTGGGAATTCCTGTTGGCACTGAATTGGTGCCAATAACCATGGGTTGACAGTACTCACAGAAAAATATATGCAAAGTGCTTCTCCAATGTCATCAGCCTCATAATTTAGAACTTCTTGCAAATTCCTAATGAAAATTTTGGTTTAAAATTTTTATTTATTGGTCTTAAAACATTTCAGAAGTAATAAATGTTCAATGGAATAATTGGGGGCACTACAGAAATGTATAAAATGCCATGTAAATTTCCTCTCCTGCACCATCCCACTCTCTCTTTCTAGAGTTAACCTCTATTTACAGATTTGATTGCTTGAACCACTGCTAACACAAACACTGCTGTGTCTTGGTAGAAATTACAATAAAAAGTCCCTTCCTCTAGACCAGTGATTCTCAACCAGGGTGATTTTGCACCCCCAGTGGATATTTGGAAAAATCTGGAGACATGTTTGGTTGTCATAATTAGAGGAGGGTTACAAAACAAAACCAAAAAGCAATTAGAGGAGGGTTGCTACTGACATCTAGTGGGTTAAGTAAGCCCATATGCAGCTCAACATCCTACAACACCCAGGACAGCCTTCCACAATTAAGGATTCTCCAGACAAAAATGCCAGGCGTTTCTCAACCCCTCCTCTACATTGGCAATACAGGGCATACAATATAAATCTAGCCAGTGTGTTCTTCCACTAACAGTACATGAGGGGAAAATCCTTTTCCCCAATCTGGCTGTCAACTCTGTATTTTATGAAAAACCTTTTGATAGTTGTCAATCTATAAAGCAAAAAAGGACATTTCATTTGTATTTCCTCAATTACTAGTAAGGTTGAGCATATTTTCATTTCTTGATTAACCATATATATACATATGTGTGATGACATATACAGTACCGGGGTTGGCAAAAGTAGGTTTACAGTTGTAAGTACGTGAAATATTTATTAATTATTGTCTTACTGTTATTATTTTGTATCCTTACTTATGATTTATCTTTTAGATAATGATGGCTGGTAATTTAACCTACTTTTGCACACCTCTGCATATATATACATCAGAGATACTGTACTAATCCTTTGTCTATTATATGTTGCCAGTATTTTCCTCACAGGATATAGTTTGCCTTTTAACTTAGAACAAGCATTTTTCAACCCTTAAAAATAAAGTTGATGACATGCTGATTTATTTAAATAAAGTGATATGATTAAATACAATTTATTCAAAATAAATATAGTAGGTATGATTCGCATTAAGAATACTGTGTACCGTCTAAAGCAACTGTTTCCATCCGGATAAACTGAAGACACCAGGCATTGTTTATTGTACTGGTCAATAATTAGAGAAACATTTGGCCTTTTCCATTTTTGAAGGTTTACTTGACTGTAAGTCATGCTAAAATTCAAATTCATCTAAAGAGCATACATTTATTGAAACTGAAGGCCTTTTGTGTGTCTGTGTCTCTGTGTGGAACATCATTTATGCCGAGACAACTAAGACTTACTAGATAAAGTCCTGGAAAAACATTTACTTACTTTCCCAAAAGGGGACTGAGTTCTTTTAAATCTTCCAATGATGGCTTTTGGTCCAGAAGTTTCTTAAACAGAGCCAGTGGGAAAGGAATATCGGCAACATTTAAATGGTACAGGGAGAGTCCACACAGCATCCCAAAGAGAAAATATCTCTGCTTCTCAATTTTAGGCTAGAAAGGAAGAAGGAAAAAACAAACACCCAGCCATAATGTATTATAAATAATCAATAATCACTGGGAAATTAGATTAGCAAAAAAATGTTTTTGGTTCCCTTTTCTAAGAGTCACAAATTAGAAACAAAATGGCTTCAAGAAAATAAAAATTTGAGGTTCTTACTCTGGCTGTATTACAGTTCAAAATTCTTCCATAAATTAAAATACAAATTAAGAGTTCACAAGATTAAATAAATGAATGTACTTTTTGTTCGTAACAGCATATTTAGAATATTAAAAAATACGCTCAGATAGCCTTATAAACTAAGGTTTTCAATATTTAATTTTACAGGCTTTGCCTTCAGATTCATGTAGAAAAACAACACTGTGGAAGAAAGAGTGTACTTTATCTACACTTTGAGCAGGCATCAGGCATGCCAGGTCTGTGTCAGACAAGTGGTGTCCCTTCGGCAATATAACTCTCAACCAAGGTGTCCTTACAGGGACCAGCATACGGGTCAGGGAAGGTGAGTGGAAGGAAGGAAAGCGTCCTGATGATATTGGCTTCACTCTCCTCTCTGCACTGGCCACATCTGGGCAGACTATCACTGCAGTCCAACCAAGAGATCACTAACCTGCTAATCTTTTAAAGGTGCATGACTCTGGGCCACCATCTACTTGTCCAATTTCTTCTTAGAGTAATTGTGAGGATAAATGTTAAAATGTCTTTGATTTTTGAAAATGAGTTAAAAATATAAGTATACTCCAAAGGTGGCCTCCTCTCACCTGTTCAGTTTTTATTTCCTGTATCTGTAATGGGTCCCCTGGTCCTAGTTGATTTAGTCCCTTCACGGAGCCATACATGAATCAGACTTTTGTTTGTTTTTTATCCATCAGTATAACACAATGCTTAAGAGTAAGGGGTTTGGCCTGGCTGGTGTTGCTCAGTGGTTGAGTGTCCACCTATGAACCAGAAGGTCATAGTTCGATTCTTGGTCAGGGCACATGCCTGGGTTTCAGGCTCCATCCCCAGTAGGAGGCATAAAGGAGGCAGCTGATCAATGATTCTCTTTCATCATTGATGTTTCTATCTCTCTATCCCTCTCCCTTCCTCTCTGAAATCAATAAAAAATATATTATTAAAAAAGAGAGTAATGGCTTTGTCTAGTCCCAAATCCATATTCCCGCTTAGTCGCTTGCTAGTTGGATGTCTGTAGCTTATTTAATCTCTCTGAACCTGTTTATTGATCTGTAAAATGGGGACAAACTAAATACCTCACGGAGTTGATGTAAGGGATCAGCATTATGCTATTAGTTATGTTTGGAGAGTCAAAGTTAAACACAGACTTTCCATTGTGTGTGGAAGAAAGGGATCAGCACCCCTAAACCCCAGGTTGTTCAAGGGTCAACTTACATCCCTTGCTTGCATCTCTTTGATCTATTTTGTCCCGATCCTTCAACATCAACCTCACGTCTCCACTTTTCCATTACACTTTCTCCAATTACTTTAGTACCCCTTGATAACTTTCTCTCTAATAAAGAATCCCTAAAATTTGGATAGTGCCCTAGAGTTTTCCTGGCGCTTTCACACTTGGATATATGCCTTATCTTGTTTTATTCTCACAACAGTCCTGTAAAGCAGGCAGAGCAGAAATTATGACAGCCATTTTATAGGTGAGGAAACCGAAAACTCAGAGAAGCTAAAAGACTCACCCACCATCATCGAGATTACAACTCTGGGCTTCCAATTCTACATCAGTGTATCCTTCCCTACGCTTCCGTGCTCAACAACTATTACACATAAAGTCAGCAATCCAAAATTTAGAAACAATTGCTAAAGTTCATGGTGTTTTATTCTTATCACTCTATCTACAAATACCAAAAGAGGAAAAGGATTGTGTTGTGTACTAATTTGAATCACTCACAATATTTAATACAATATGGAATCTCACGAAATAGTCAATAAATGCTTGTTGTTTGACCCATAAAAATCCTACCATTTGTACACCTTCGCCATTTCTATTTTCTAGAAGTTCATTCTTTCTCAAAAAGATACAGATCACTTCTCAGTACTTTTGCACACCCACTCATCTTTCTTTTCCTTTTCCCTGTCCCCTGGGTCCCAAACTTCTACTATGGAAAGAACACTTGGGAAATTTATCAGAAAGGGGATCCATAAATTGAGGCTCAACATGATTCTTTTTAGAATTATTTTCTCTGTGTTTCTAATAGAGAAATGAAGACAGGTTTTTTGTTATTTTAAGATATGTTTACATTTTGAGGATCCTTGTAAAAGTATAATCATTGCAGAAATGAACTGCCTTATTAGAATTAGCAATTATCTCTAGGATTATATTAATAATATCTCTTCTTATAGAAACATTCTAGATTACTGCATCTCAAAATCTAGGAAACCACACAAATATCCATCAGAAGTGAGTAGATAAGCAACATGTAGTACATCCATACAATGGAATACTACTCAACAAAAGGGAATGAGCTTTGGTTACATTCAACAGCATGCGTGACTCTCAACATAATTATGCTGAGTGAAAGAGGACAGACACCAAGACTACTTATGATTCCATTTCTGTAAAATTTTAGGAAATTCAAAGTACTCTATAGTGACAGTTGTTGCCTGGGCATGGGATAGGGGGCACCAGAGGCATAGCAGCAGGGGAGGAGTAGGGCTCGAAAGGGTTACGAGAAAACTTTGGGGGATGATGTGTAGGTTCATTATCTTTTTAAAAAATATATTTTTATTGATTTCAGAGAGGGAGGGAGAGGGAGAGAGAGATAGAAACATCAATGATGAGAGAGAATCATTGATCTGCTGCCTCCTGCACGCCCCACAGTGGGGTTCGAGTTTGCAACCTGGACATGTGCCCTGACTGGGAATCGAACTGTGACCTCCTGGTTCATAGGTCAACACTCAACCACTAAGCCATGTTGGCCAGGCTATTTTCATTATCTTGATGATGGTGAGAGTTATCAAAACTTATCAAATTGAAAAAATCTATGTGCTGTTTATTGTATCTCAAGTGTACTTCATTAAAGCTGTTTAAAAATATAAAGTGCGTATGAATTACTTGACGATCTTATGAAATACACAGGCCTGAGATTCTGCTTTTCACAGGTGTTGTTGGAGCGGCTGCTCTGTGGACCATATTTTGAGTAGCAAGGCTCTATATGACCTAATTTTACATTATTTATTTACTTAAAATAGTGTCATTTTTAAAAATTGATTTTAGAGAGGGAGAAAAGGAGGGGGAGACATCAATGTGAAAGAGATAACATGGATTGGGTTAGTTGCCTCCCATACATGCCTGACCATGCCTCAACTTGGCTGGCACCCACAACCTAGGTATGGCCCCTGACTGGGAATCAAATCCATGACTTTCCAGTGCATGGATGATACTCCAATCAACTCAGCCCCACTGTCCAGGACCTAATTTTACATGATTATGTATGGTTCTCATGTTGTAATAGAGGGCATAATTTTTCTGTTCTGAAAAAAAAAGAAAATAAATAAAAGACTTACACTGATAGGAAACCACATGTAGGAACCCTCTTCAGGATACATGAACATTCCATATTCTGTCTTGGTCATCTCATCAAATATGAAGTAGAAGAACTCGGACTTTACCCCATAACCCACAGAACAAATTTCGTTAATAAATTCAATCTGAGGAAAGAGAACACTCCCAGTTAAAATATAATGCCTTGACCTTTTGTAGAAAAGTTTCAAACCTCCTGCAGTCACCAGAATTCCCAGAATCCCACATCTCTTACTTCACTGCAATCTGTTCTCCCTCAATTTGCTCCTGAGCAGCAGCTGCCATGAACCTTTTTATTATCCGATTATTGTATACTGTGTGCATGGGGCTTTTACACTGCCATGAACCAAGTGAAGGGGATGCTAGCAAGACTTAGCATTCACCAATTATGTTGACCAGCGTCTTAAACCAAATTTTGATGTGCTTTAATCCTCTGGGCCACTAAATCCCCTGATTCTTCTATCTTGTTATCTGTCTTCATTGCATCATTCAGACTTTACAGCTTTGGCCCAATCAACAACTATTTAATTTCTCCTACCTCTCCCCTCTTTAGGACTTTTGATAAACAGCCCTTCCAGCCAGCCTGGGCCTGGCATCTTTCCAAGAACCATGAGACCTAACTGCCCATATCCCTTGTGTGGGAGATCAATATGAACTAGTCCCTCTTTTCTAAAGTCCAGTTTTGGACTTTGTGGCCGAGTGCACTCCCAGCTTTCCTCTCTGATGACTCCCTCTCTACTTCCTTTCCTGGATAATTTCTTTTTATCTTTCTAATACAAGCATCACTAAGCTTGACTAAGTGTTCTCTTTTTGCCTGGAAGATCTTATCTATTGCCACTTTGGTCAACTGATTCCTTGGCCCTAGACGGTCCTCTCCAAGGGCCTGCCTCTCATTCCATCTGGATATCCCAATAAAGAATTAAGCTTACTTCCGATTTTCTCATTTCTCAGTGGTTGAGTGTTGACCCTAGCAAGTCTGCCTCTGTCGTGGTCAGGACACACTCATAATGGGCCTTGACAGCCTTGCCTTGCTCAGGGTCTATATTTTTATCAGATCTCTCTTACCTTCTTACCTCTTTGTCATCTCCTGTAGCAGAATCATTTTCAGTTCATTTCCTCATAATCAAGATTTAAAGGAGAGTAGGTACAGAGGGAGACATACAACTAGAAAGTCTGGCTTATAAAATATTTTGTTTCCCATTGGAGTCCCATGGGGAGAAATATCCCTCTCCTGTGTGAGTCTAACCCTCCAGGTTCTGGTTTCTTCTCTGAGAACCCAAATCTTCCCCTCATGGCTGATACCGAGAAAATCTACTCCTTTCTGAACGGACTCCAGCTCAAATCTAGAGTTGTCGTCATTATTTTATAGCCTCAATAAGGCTAATAATCTGAGGTACCACACAATAAAATTCCTACAGGTGCCCACAAAGGGTGAAGTGAAGGATAGTTAGAACCAATATAGTAGTGGAAGTTCTATAGCTAAAAGTAGAGCCAGAATGTAGGAAAAGTGTCTGCTCCACCTGCTGCTTGTGGATTGCACTGACAGCCCCAATTCTTCGCCCCTCCTTGAACCAAGTCTTTTGCATGTGACTTTGCAGTTCCGCCCTTTAAAGAGGCTGAGTATATTTCACCAGCTCTTGATGTGGGTTCAGCCATGGGACTTGCTTTGACTAAAGCAATGTCTGTTGTGTGACTGGGCTTGTTATTTTGTACCTCTGGCACTGTTGTGAGAAGAACATCTTGCTGGTCCCAGGAAGAAGATGAAAAGCAGGAAGCAGAGCCAAACTTCCTCAGCCAGGCCTAGCCTAGCTCAGTCCATCCCTAGCCAACTCCCAAACATGTCAACAGGTGCATACAGAATCTGCAAAGCCGCCCAGATAAGTTCACCCTAAATCAGGAGATCTTCTACTGAACTGCAGATAAAGTATTGTTATTTTCAGTCATTAAGCTTTGGGATGGTTCATTATAGCCATAGGTAACTAGTTAATTTATAATCCCAATGTTCAATGAAATGTCCCATTGCTTTTCTCTGAAGGGTAAGCAAGGAATTCTGGAAATCATAAGGCTGATAAGTATAGTTGCAAATGCAGGCTCTTCCTTTGCTACATTAAATAACTGCTTCTCTCCCACAGTAGTAAAATGTCCAATGAGACTTTTTACCGTACCGCCAATTCTTTCCGAAGGTCAGTGACTGCAGCTTGGTCTAATTGACGCAGAGCATCATCAACTAGGTGACTTCGTCTGACTTGAAGTAAAAATTGGGGTGAAAACATATGTGTAATTTGTGACCCCTGGAAAAAGAAATATTTTAGGAATCTTCACAGCAATATTAGGAAATATTTAACATTTCAGATAAACCCATTTTGTCTAACATACAATTATGCCTACTATTGCCATATATGGTCATATTGTAATTATTTAAGAAAAGAGCATCATATGTACACTATGGAAGATAAAAAGGTGGTAGAATCTGTGAAACTGTGGTATCTAGGAATTTTGTACAGAGGATTAATCATCGTGGATGTACAGCTAAGTAATTAAAAGCTATCTCTGATCACTTATTTTAGTAAACATGATCCTTAGAAGCAATAGTGGTGTTCACCATGCAGAGACATTCTCCCACTTTTTAAGAAGAAGAGTGTTAGCACAATAATCCTCAAGAATATAAGGGCAGCTTAGAAGCCGAGGGAAAATGTGAGATGTAGGAAACAGACTAGAGGAAAGACTTGCTCAGAGAAAATTGTTCTCTGTTACCCTACATAGTACTTCCATTAAGCTTTTCTAAATTCTCAACATGCCCTCACCATTTCAGCTCCCTGCTCTTGTTTCTGCACAACTCCCTGGGATTAGAAATCTAGTGTTGGAATTACTATCCTTGCTTTGACCTTTAACCTTCCTGTAGGACTTCTGCTATATCACAAGGACAATAAAAGAATATTTAGGACTCATAAACCAATGCCACTATTGTGACAGCAAGACAGGTGGATAATAACTATCCTAGTCCAGGTTTCCAGACCGTGTGGTTGCCCATATTAGCACTCTATAAGCTACTCAGAGAAGTGCATGCATATGACTCAGGGCTTGGGAAAGCCCTGTCCCAGATCTCTGCTACCACTGTATACTGAGAAATTACATGTGATTCCACTAGATTCTTCTGGTTTTTCCCTAAGATCTTTGTTGTAAAGAAGCTCCACAGCCCTAGCTGGCTTGGCTCAGTGGCTAGAGCGTCGGCCTGCGGACTGAAAAGTCCCAGGTTCAATTCCCGTCAAGGGCACATGCTCGGGTTGTGGGCTCGATCCCTAGTAGGGGGTGTGCAGGAAGCAGCCATCATCGATGTTTCTCTCTCTCTCTCCCTCTCCCTTCTTCTCTGAAATCAATAAAAATATATTAAAAATATATATTTAAAAAGAAACAAAATAAGAAGCTCCATATTTGTAGGGAGATGGAACAAGTGCTATTTCTAGTCCTTTCTGGTGGTGGGTCATCTCCTCCTGTGGCCTTGGAATCTGCAGACACTTCAGGAATACTGACTGCTAAGCTACATGTCCCGTGGCTCTGAGTGACAGGGAGTGGCCAGCAATACCCTGCACTGACTATAGCAGGGAAAGGTGTATGCGTCTTGCTGCTGGCCCAGGCTTCTCTCGCCTTCCCAAGAATTGGACTTGAAACCTGTGTATCTTATTTTCCAGTCTCTCTACTCCCGCTCTCCATGTATTGGTTTCCCATTTCTACATTTGTGCATTTGGATTGATAATCTAGTTGGGAGCTTACAATTTTGACTAAGTCCATCATCTCTCCTCTGGAGGACAGGATTGTGGAACCTGCTTTGTGATTTCACCCATGACAACTACAACTAAGAATTTTCTTGTCCTCAAACATTTCCCAACCCTTCATAGTATATAACTTGCCTGGGTCCGCTATGCACTCAGCCCTCACTAACAGAGCAGACAGGTTAGACAGAAAATTTCTATAGAAGAAAATAATGTAGAGAGAAAGATTTGCTTAAAGGGAACTTAAGGGAAAGTTAGGTTAGGGAAGGAAAGATTTAATCTATTTTCTCCCATTACCAGGAATGTCAGGAAAATTGAAAAAAAAAACAAAAAAACAAGAGGTACAAAAAAACAAGAGGTGGCTGGGACCAAGTCAATCTGATGACAGACACTAATAACAGTAACTAAAGGGAGAGTCCTTAACTATGGAATGCTTTTAGCAGGAAGTACTTTGTCCCTCTAGGTTGAGTATTATAAATAAACTAGAGGACTGGTGCATGAAAATTTGTGCACTTGGGGGGAGTGTCCCTCAGTCCAGCCTGCTCCCTTAGTCCGGGAGCCCTCAGGGGATGCCTAAGCTGCAGTCTGGCCTCCCTCTGTGGGAGGCGACCAGCACGACGATCGGGGACAGCGCCGGCCATCAAGCAGCTGGCCCTGCCCCCCGATCGCCCCTCCACCGCCGCTGGTCACTGCCACCCCCTATCGCCGTCTCCTTCCTCTGCCTGCTGACACCTGTCTTGGCTGACCTGGTGCTGCCCTCTCACCGGCCCCGCCCTGCCCCCTGCCAACCTGTCCTTCTGCCATTTGGTGGATTTGCATATTAGACTTTTATTATATAGGATGTGGTGTTTATGGATTTATCAGGCATGGCCCATTGGAAAATGTCATATAAGCTCTATAATTAATAGGGAATGAAAAGGAAATATTTTATTACTGAAATGACTCCTTTTGTGCATGTGATGTCCCAGACTTTTCACTTACATGGCACATCTCCTTTGAATTATTAGCAAAAGTAATGGGTATGTTTAGACAGAAAATTTCTATAGAAGAAAATAATGTAGAGAGAAAGATTTGCTTAAAGGGAACTTAAGGGAAAGTTAGGTTAGGGAAGGAAAGATTTAATCTATTTTCTCCCATTACCAGGAATGTCAGGAAAATTGAAAAAACAAAACAAAAAAACAAGAGGTGGCTGGGAAACAGAAGAGATGACCAAGTCAATCTGATGATAGACACTAATAACAGTAACTAAAGGGAGAGTCCTTAACTGTGGAAGGACTCTCCCTCTCCCTTCTTCTCTGAAATCAATAAAAATATATTAAAAAATATATATTTAAAAAGAAACAAAATAAGAAGCTCCATATTTGTAGGGAGATGGAGTCTGCCTTATAGTCTTTGTTTTTTTCTTTTTTCTTTTGTTAATCCTCACCCAAGGATATTTTTCCTTTGAATTTTAGGGAGAGTAGAAGAGAGAGGGAAAGACAGAGAGAAACATCGATGTGAGAGAAACACATCAATTGGTTTCCTCCTGGGCTGGGGAGGAGCCTGCAACCAAGATACATGCCTTTGACTAGAATTGATCCTGGGACCTTTTGGATCAATTCACTGAGCCAAACCTGCTAGGGCTCTTATAGTCTTTCTATAAACATCATAGAAAATAGATACGAACCTTTCCTGAGGAATGGCCTAGAAAACAAACTTCAGTGATCAAAAAATGTTTGGAAAATCTTTAGCATAATGTCTGGGCATGTGGTGAGTATAACTGAGAGTATAAGGCTGATGGTGACAAGAGAGACAAAATACCATGTAAGTGTTTTGTGGGAATAATACAACTCTCAGAAAAAGAATGGAAGGAAGGGAATAAATGGAAGACAGAATAAATTCACTGGGAATAAAAGAATATCAGTTGGGGCTTATAAATCAAGCTCCAAGACTTTTAAAGAAATTGTTATTTATTGATTTTAGAGAGATAGAATGGGGTGGGGGGAGAGAGAGAGAGAGAGAGAGAGAGAGAGAGAGAGAGAAACATTGATTTGTTGTTCTGCTTATTTATTCATTCATTGACTGCTCCTTGTGTATGCCACGACCGGAGATCAAACCCACAATCTTGGACTATCGAGATGATGCTCTAATCAACTGAGCTACCTGGCCAGGGCTCAAGCTCCAAGACTCATAAACAGATATGATAATCCAAAGAGTAACAACTAAGAACTTAGTATAGTCCCTAAAACTGGATAGAGAGAAAAAGAGCATTTATTTGATCATTTCAGTATTGCTCATAGTAGGAAAACAATGGTTATTAGCTGAAGAAAGTGAGGCTGCAGCCATTATATAATAACTAGAGGACGGGTGCATGAATTCGTGCATGGGTAGGGTACTTAGGCCTGGCTGGTGATCAGGGCCGATCAGGACCATCTCGCCCAGTCCCGATTGGGGCCAGGCTGATCAGGGCCAGGGCAATTGGGGCCTGCCAGCAGGGGGAAGCAATAGGTGGAGGGACCACAGGTTGGCTGGCCAGCCTCTATCGGGGTCAATTGGGGCAGCCGGCTGGGGGGAGGGACCATGGAAGGTTGGCTGGTCGCAGGGAGGGACCAGTGGCTGGCCGCGGGAGATTGGCTATGGGAGTGCACTGACCACCAGGGGGCAGCTCCTGTGTTGAGCATCTGCCCCCTGGTGGTCAGGGCACGTCATAGTGACTGGTGGACCCGTTGTTGCAGTCATTCGGTCTTAACGGTCACTTAGGCTTTTATATATATAGATGAGAAATGTAAATTAAAATTAAATTGAGCTGACTGGTGTTGCTCAGTGGTTGAGCATTGACCCATGAACCAAGAGGTTGATTCCTGGTCAGGGCACATGCCTGGGTTGCAAGCTTGATCCCCGGGGGGGGTGGGGGGGGGGCGTGCAGGGGGCAGCCAATTAGTGATTCTCTCTTATCATTGATGTTTCTCTCTCTCTCTCTCTCCCTTTCCCTTCCTCTCTCTGAAACAATCAAAAACATAATTTTTAAGAAAATTAAATTGGAATATCATGGCTAACCCATCAAATTGGAACACTGCTTAGTAACACTGCATTGGTTATAATGTAAAGGGGCATTTCATGCATTGCTGGTGGTAACATAAATTGGTACAACTACTATGCATGGAAAAGGATTAAGCATTAGTCTGCCTTCTTATATGGATGATTTTTCAGGGGAGCCAAAGAGCCCTCATTGATGAGGAAAAGTTCTTTACATAAAAAATGAAAAAGTTAAAAAAGTTAAAGTTCTTTGCAGTTCATAACTTTGGAAGAAATGATAATATTAGAAATGTTGCTGTTTTTCAAACTTCAACCAAAACAATGGATAAAAATCTTCTAATAAAAGAGTAATATGCAAATTGACCATCACTCCAACACACAAGATGGCTGGCAGAGGAGGGCAGTTGGGGGCAACCAGGCCGGCAGGGAAGGACAGCATCTCTGGGCCTATCAACGGGGCCTGATCAGAAAGGCAGGTCTGATCAGCAGCTCCGGTGGAGGCCTGT